CCCCCCGCAAAGTTTCAAGAGGTTTTTTGCCATTGACTTCAATGGCCCCATTGGTTATAATGGACCCGAATTTTTCGGGTTTTCCGAAAATTTTCGGATATCTATGGTTTACCGGTATAGAAATTCGGGTTTTTCGGGTTTCCCGAAAAAATTCGGGTTCAATAAACCCGAATCTGAATTTTACCGAATTTTTTTTTTTTGCACACCCCTATTCCTGAACACTGCAGTATATCCTAAAAGAAGGAGGGGACTGATGCGCCCCCAATGGCACGAACAGCCTCCCGGTCACTAGGGAACACATTCCCAGCAGGAACAGGTCACATCTTATCCTGCCTTTCCTTGAGAACAGCTCAGGACGGCATACGGAGTTTCCCCTCCTGTGCTCCACTTCATCCCTGCAACAGTGACACCCTGCAGCTAGACCTAAGGGGCAAACAGCCAGGAGTTTAGACCTGGGGCTCCTGGTTCCTGACTATCTAAACTGGGGTCACCACCAATCTTTTGGTGTAGTGGTGTAGAGCCAGTTTGGTGTAGTGGTTAAGTGCGCGGACTCTAATCTGGGAGAACTGGGTTTGATTCCCCACTCCTCCACTGGCACCTGGCTGGATGACCTTGGGCAAGCCATAGTTCTGATAAGAGCTGTTCTTGAAAAAGAGCAGTTTCTATCAAGAGTTTTCTCAGCCCCACCAACCTCACAGGGTGTCTGTTGTGCGGAGGGGAAGGGAAAGGGGTAATGAGCCGCTCTGAGACTCCTTTGGGTAGTGAAATTTTTTTTACCACGCCGCGACAGGATAAATATCAGCTCCCAGACCTCATTCAGGCGTGTTCTCTCAGTGCCTATTGGGCGGTGAGGGACACCTGCCGCTTGCAAGCTGTATTCAAATAAAGCTGTTTGACTGAAGGAGACTGTCTTGCGAATTCATTTTTGGTAAGTGCAAATTGCGCTAACGACATAATCAAGCCGGAAAAAAATATGCTCACCAAAGAAAACCACTCTTCTATACCTTTGACACATGTAGCTATACTTTTTATAACGCTTAGAATGCGAATTTCCTACACGAGACAACATTCATCCTTGGGTGAAGGACATTTCATAAATATAAGCAAAGCCAGTAGGTAATGGCATGAATACAATACAAAATCTTGAGGCAAATATTATCCGCTCTTTTTTTGGCTAGGCTCCTGGGATGTTTACTCGTTAAGGCATCCTAACAGATCTGTGAAGTGGACAAAGGAGACCGAAAAGGCTTCGTTTTTCAAGTTCCTAAGCAATGCTCCTTCTAAACTGTGGAGTCTTGTAAGCAAAAATTCTACTTTGTGAACTACTGGCATTAAAGCTGTGAGCGAGCAATTTGGCTGCTGCACAAATTAGCTTGCTCTGGAGCCATCCTTCCTGAGCGAAGACAAAAAATGTGTGAGCTGGAGGCTAAAAAACTTTGAGCAGACTCACACTAACTTGGCTTAGAGGGAACACTGCTCCTAAGCAATATTTATCCCTTCTTCGTTTGAAAACACGTGGATTGAAGAAATGCAAGAGATAAAGAGAACGCACTTTCCTAGGATTAAACAGCGGTTTCGTATATCTTTTTCGACCCTATCTCTCTGTTAGTGCTTGTCACCAATCTCTTGACGGAGCACTGCAGGAATGACAATAATGTGGATCCAACGCAACATCTCTCTAATGTCTTCCCAAAGCTTTTCGTGCTGTGGCGGCAGCTGCTGCCAAAGCAACTTTTTTTTGAAAATCTGCACAGCCAAATCAAGCTTGCACTCCACCAATGTTCACGGCGAAAAACTGATTCAAGTCCAATTACAGTCCACAAATTTGCTGTTTCTTCTTTTTGTTTCTTTATTTTATGTCCGAGAGCCAGCAGATGCCAAGAAAATACAAGATTAATTCTGAGTAGGAGACGTAGAGCATGGGCTCCAAGTATAAAGCGACCTGACAAAGCATTGAGGGAAACAGACTGTGTACCTGGGAAATCTGTAGTCGCATGACAATTGTTGGAAGCAGCAGCAGCACTGCATGACGTTAAATAAAGAAACAAAAAGAAGAAAAAGCCAAACCAAACCAAAAGTCTATTACGGTCATAAGACCAGTCACAATAAATACAGATAAGAAGGACAAGATAAAGTGAATAAATACATAAAAGATATGGAATATATGTGTAAAAGACACACTCATCTATGTGTAAAAAACACACTCATTTCATTAATTTATTTCCCAGCAATTGACATTTTTTTCGTCAAGTGATACCACTTTTTGAGTGCTATCACACAGAATTTTGCTACTGCAGATGATACGGTTCTCTATCACCTCATAGATATATCCGAAGGGTTTCAGGACTAAAATCTATAAAATACTGTAATGGTTTGAATCTGCAGCGTAATGGAATATCTTGATAGAATTCGCACTGCAAAAGTATATGTGTGATAGATTCAACCACTTTGTTTGGACAGGGACAGCAACGCTGCTGCAAGGGCAGGTGGGAGAATCTCCCATACAAAACTGCGGAGGGAAATGCATCAAACCGTGTTCTAGAGAAGGCCCACCTGCATCCTTCGTTTGTAAAATCCAGGAAGAAAAAGCAAATTTGTGAACTGTAATTGGATTTGAGTCAATTTTTTTAAAGTTTTATTTATGAGCTTTTAAATTGTTAACAAGAAAATAAACATACACAACAACAATATACACTAGAGTCTATTGTTTCGTTCTTTCTCTATCCAATCATACAGTCTCGTCCACCTTTTCTCAAAAACCTTTTCGTCTTTCCTGTACAAAATTACATTCAGCTTCTCGATTTCTGCTACACTCATTAGTTTATATATTATCTCATCTCTTTGTGGTGATTTATCTGATTTCCAATATTTAGCCCAAAGGATTCTTGCTGCAGTCAAAATATAAATTATTACATATTTTTCATTATAATCATATTCCTTTGGGATCATATTTAACAAGTAGATTTTGGGATTAACTGGCAGATCTACATTTACAACTTCTCTTATTATTTTCTGAATTTTCTTCCGGTAACTTTGCATTTTTACACATCGCCACCACATATGGTAAAAAGAGCCTATATTGGTTTCACATTTCCAGCAGTTACTTGAACAGTTTGGGAAACATTTTGCAATCCTTTCCGGCGGCCAATACCATCTATGAAGCATTTTAAACACATTTTCTAGGACTTGAGTCAATTTTGCACAGTGAACGTGGGTGAAGGGCAGCCTTGGTTGAGTCACTGTGGTCCATTTGTGGCTGGAATCAAATCGAGCTGCCCGGGCAAAAGCACTAGCTGGCCATGCCCCCTTTCTAAAGACTCTTTGGTGGGGACCCCTACACCACCCTGACTGGAAAAGAGCTCCCCCGGTACTTACCAAACCAAGCGTCGACCCCGTCCTCCTCGTTCAGCTCCCGGAAGTTCATGCAATTTTCCGGGACGTCATATGAATACGTGTCCTGAGACATTTTCGCCTCGACTGCTGGAGCAGGGTTTTCTCGAGGACCCTCAGCGCGAGAACCTGAGACAAGACGGAGAGCACGTTAGCAACTTCAGGCGAACCAGCCTTCATTTATTAAGCAGTTCGGATCCGGCCTGGAGAATTCACCCCTGCAGGTGGAGAGGGCGGCTCACGACACCCTTCGAAAGGAAATATTATAAACACACAGTGGCGACAATCCTCAGACATTTCTATAGCTAAAGGGCCAGGGCTTTTTCGGTGGTGGCTAGAGATGTGAAGGCCCGGAAAAAAACCCGGAAAAATCCGGGAGGAAATCCGGGTTTTCCCCATTTTTTTACTGAAGCCTTTTTAGTTTTTTTCCGAAAAATTGGAAAAATTGAAAAAAGAAAAGGAAAGGAAAAAAATTGATTATGGAACGTTTTATTTTAAAAATGATGAATAAAATATTTTAAGACCAGGTGTTCAAATATTTCCCAAATCATTTCTAAAATATATATGTAGGGTATCAGATTGATCTAATTTCTGTGCACTGAGGACAAGCAAGTCCTAGGTTACAAACTGAACTCTCCAATGCAAGAACAAGATGCATTTCTTCCTTTAGGAGGTGCAATTGGCAGAAGAAAATTAAAAAGTTTCAGTTTTGTTTTTGCGTGTGGGTAGGTATTCTGTTTGTAATAATTGTTTGGATACACTATATTTATAATATGCTAGTTGTGATAATTTCATGCAAAGTAAAAATGTCCATAGTCATATATTATGTTCCTAAAGTAACAGAATGACTTTCAATCTAGAAAAGACAAAAGGAATGCTAATGTAGCATTTTTTTCAATTCAACAACCAAACTGTGGTAAGGCCCCCTATACTACCACCAGTAGCCTGCAACGGCCTCTCTAAACCGTCTGATAAGCTGTTTGCCAACTCTGGCTATACTCCTTTGTGACCATTCCACCATGGCCTACTGGGATATCTATGTAATATCATACCACCACTAGCACTTAATTGTGTTATTGTGTATGATTTTTATGATGTTTATGATTTGTGTTTTAATGTATTCTAACTGTTAATGTAAGCTGCCCTGAGCCTACCTTGGCAGGGAGGGTTGGATATAAATTGAGTTAAATAAATAAATAAATAAATAAAGGGAAGAGCTGGGTTGGTGGTAGCAAGCAGAGAGGTCTCTAGCCCAAATCTCACTCCAACTACAAACTCTTTCCACAGACGTGCACACCCTTGCTCAGATTGCCCGGAGGCATGGGCTGGGCTGTCACCAATCTGTGGACGACACCCAGCTCTATCTGTTGTTGGACGGCCAGTCAGACTCCAGTCCGGAAGATCTCGACCGGGCGCTGCAAGCCGTGGCTGGATGGCTTAGACTGAGACGACTGAAACTGAATCCGATGAAGACGGAGGTCCTGTGCCTGAGTCGGAGTGGTCCGGGGGTAGGGATCCCTACCTTCGATGGGACAGCGTTGGTGCCAGCACCGGAGGTTAGGAGTGCTCCTGGAGGCCCAGGTAGCAGCCACTGCCAAGTCGGCCTTTTATCCTCTCCGGCTGATTAGGCAGCTGGTTCCCTTCCTTGAACGCAATGACTTGGCAACAGTGATCCATGCGATGGTCACCTCGAGGTTGGACTACTGTAACGCCCTCTGCATGGGGCTGCCCTTGTCCCAAATCCGGAAGCTGCAGCTGGTACAGCATGCGGCGGCCAGGCTGATGTTGGGTCTCCGTATGCGGGAACACATCCAGCCTGCGCCAAAAGCATTGCACTGGCTGCCTATAGCATACCGAATGCGGTTCAAGGTGCTGGTACTTACCTTTAAAGCCCTTTATAGCCAGGGACCGCCTTTCCTCATATGTTCCCCAGCAAGCAGTGCAATCGGGTACTCAAAATCGCCTGGTCCTCCCAGGCCCTAGAGAAGCCAGGCTTGCAGCAACGAAGGCTAGGGTCTTCTCAGTGGCGGCTCCATACTGGTGGAATGAGCTCCTGGAAAACATCAAGGCCCTGCGAGGCCTTTCACAGTTCCGCAGGGCCTGTAAAATGGAGCTCTTCCACCAGGCAGTCGATTAAGGAGCCGCCCGCAACCATCTGAGGCCCTGGCCCCAATATCACCAATACTATCAATATTTTAATAAAATCAATAATATCATGAATATCACTAAATAGCCTGTGCCTCGCTGATATGACCCAGACCATGCGCTAATTGATTGTGGAGTCCCGCCATGTTGTATGCTGTTGCTAGCACTTTATGTACTGTTCCTAGACTTAATGCATTATAATTTCAATTGAGAAGTTGTTTTACCAGGAATAATCTCAGCTGCCCTGAGCCTACTGCAGCGGGGAGGGCGGGAGAGAAACCAAATAAAATAAATAAAAATAAATAAATAAATCGGGGAAAGGCGGTGTGGCTCAGTGATAGAATATCTTGTTTGCACGAAGATCCTAGGTTCGACCCCCACTGTCACCAGTTAAAGGGATCGGGTAACAGGGGATACGAAAGACTGGAGACCCAGGAGAGCAGCTGCCAGTCTGAGTGGCCAATACTGACCTTGCTGGTCCCATGGCGTGATTCCAGTATAAGGCAGCTTCAAATTGTAGATTAGATGTAAAGGTAAAGGTTCCCTTGCTCGAAAGCCAGTCGAATCCGACTCTAGGGTTGCGGTGCTCATCTCCGTTTCAAAGCCGAAGAGCCAGCGCTGTCCGAAGACGTTTCCGTGGTCATGTGGCCGGCATGACTAAATACCAAGGCGCCATGGAACAACCCAATAACTCTCAGCTTTGGGGCCTGACTTTGCAAAGCTGTTTTCAATAAGTTAACTTTGGTGATGCGCTTTGAGCACAAAAGCAATATACCAATGTTCAGCCCGCCTTCGTCTCCGCCCCCCAGCATGCAGTGGGGAAGGAGGGGGGGTCTCCTTGGTGCAGGCAGCAGCCCCCGAAGCGCCGGGCTGGGACTGGCCCTGATGTATCGCTAGGCCCATCGGCTCGTGGGATGATGACCAGACGGAAAACGTGGATTTAGATCTGAAAGCACGCCATCCAATTTTTAGCACTGCAAACACTTTATTGCTAATTGTTAATTACATGTATATGAATGAGTATGTATTTTATGTAGTTTTAAAATTTTATGGTTATGCCCAGGGGTCGTTTCGTAGAAAAAGAGCTAGGGGAACTCATTAGCATAACTCGTTAGCATATGCCACATCCCCTGACATCAGGGGCCCAATGGTGGACCTGCAAGGCCAGCGGAAATGCTCCCTCTAAGCTGTGGAGGCTTGTGAGCAAAAATTCTACTTTGTGAGTTACTGGCATTAAAGTTGTGAGCGAGCCATTTGGCTACTGCACCAATCAGTTTCCTCCAGAGCCATCCTGCCTGAGCGAAGACAAAAGTATGCGAGCCGGAGGCTAAAAAACTGTCAGCTTGCTCACACAAACTCAGCTTAGAGGGAACACTGCTCTCCACCTGAGCTAAGCAGCACCCAACAACAACAGTGGGAGGTCTCCTAGTGACCTGGCCCCACTGCTGGACCTCCCGATGGCACCTGGTACGTTTGGCCACTGTGTGACAGAGTGTTGGACTAGATGGGCCGTTGGCCTGATCCAACAATGGCTTCTCTTATGTTCTTATATGGAGCAGAGGTCCATCAGTGGCTATTAGCCACAAGGTATAGATAGGGGCTCTGGGGCAAGTGATGCTCTGTCTTCTTGGTGCTTGGGGGGGCCAACAGTGGGAGGGCTTCTAATGTCCTGGCCCCACTGGTGGACCTCCTGATGGCCCCTGGACTTTTTGGCCACTGTGTGACAGAGTGTTGGACTAGATGGGCCGTTGGCCTGATCCAACAATGGCTTCTTATGTTCTTAACTTCTCCGGTGGAGGACAAAGCCGGCTGACTGGGCCCTGCACATAGAGGTTGAGATTACCGCTGGTTTCGGTGCCCTGGGAAAACTGGCTTTGCGGGCTCACAAACGGGCAGCCTGCCCGGATATAAATTACAACACCATTAGCAGGTGCCACTGTGATTTATAACTCTCGGCCTTCCCTTGCCAAGATGTGGAACATGGCTGCGTACCCAACATACCAAAGGAAACACGATGATGGACAGGCTGGGGGTGGGGGGGGGAGGCAGGAAGATGCTGCTACCTGAAAAGGGGGGAATTCAAGAGCGTGGAAAAATAAGGAGAAAGCAGCCTTCTAAAGTGGAGGAAAAGGGGATGAAAGAAAGCGACAGCCCTCGAACCGGAGGCAGAGAGCAGGATGGAACTGGATACCTTCTCACCCCCTTTAATCAGGATCAAGTTTCTGTCAACACTACTAACTTGTGTGTTTTTTTCCAAACGAAGTGCGTCAGAGACATTCTTCGTGCCCACTTTGCCCGGCAAATCAAGCTGCCAGAGCAGGAGGGGCGGGCATCACATTTCAGACATGCTTGGATCGAAGGCTTAACTCTCTGCTCTGAAGTTGAGGGACTGCGCCTGTTTGGTTATCAGGAGTCGGGAAGTCAGCGGGACCCAGAGCCACGACAATGGCCTGCAGGGTGCCGGTCGTGACCCCGGAAAGAACCCTGCACATTCCATCCTACGGACAGGAAGGGTTTGATTCCAAGGGCATCTCCAGGTAGGAAGGTGAGGGAGGTTGGCAAGGCGAGGCTCTTTCACTACTGAGCACTTTGGAGAGATGAGACAGATTAATAGACGAGACTCTATCAGTGACAATTAGCTAGGGTGGCGAAAAAAAAGCTCCACATTCCTACCTCTGAACGCCAATGCCACGGGGCAACATCAGGGGAGGCTGGAAGATATGGACCACTGGTCTGATCCAGCACGGCTCTTCTGAAGGTCTCATGAAGGCCTCGGCCTCTATGCCCTGTTGTTGGCCCTCCAGAAGAACTGGTGGGTCACTGTCTGAGGCAGGATGCCAGACTACATGGACCACTGGTCTGATCCAGCAGGGCTCTTCTGATGTTCCTATGAAGGCCTCAGCCTCTATGCCCTGCTGTTGGACCTCCAGAAGAACTGGTGGGTCACTGTCTGAGGCAGGATGCCAGACTACATG